AGAGGTTTGTATACAACATTCTCCGTCTTTGTTATTTAATTCGAGTTTGAAGTTATCGTATAAAAATAACTTCTTTTCTCTTCTATTGGGACTTTCGCGAGATTTTTTACCAAAAGAGAACTGAATCACAACTTTAACTGCTAGGCCATGATTTTTCAAAACATAGTCTGATAATGCACTTTTTTTAGGTTACTGCTTATGCAAGACATCTAATTGTTCTTCTATCCTATAGTATTTAAGAGTCGTCGAGTTTCGCCAATATTTATCAGGTGATATATATATATATATATACATTGCATTTATCAGGTTTATCAGGTTATATACATACATATATATATATATTGCATTTTAGTTAGCGTTATTTGTATCATTTAGTAGCTTAAACATAAGGTTATAAGACTATAACATACAATAAATATAACATGGGAAGAGCAAAATAAAAAAAATAGTAATTTATAAGTCCAACAATATATAAACTGGTTATTTTTGAGAGCTTAACGTGAATGTTAAGCAGAGAAAAATAAAGAAACCCCAATTTTTCTATATTTTACTGAGATATGCTAGGTTCGTTATTTCCAAAAATTTTAGGTTTTAGGTGGAATTTAATCATAGTAACAATGTTAAGCATTTTTCACATTAACCGGATTATGTCAAGAATTTAACATGGTTATTATATAGTGTTTGAAATAAAAATATCCGACCTTTTAACGACAGTAATTTGAGATGCTAGGTTTGCTATCTGAAACTTTTTCTTGGGTTTTATTGGAATTTAAACATATTAGCTACGTTAAGCGCGTTTTTCACATTAAGCACAATTGATGTAAATCCGGTTGTTTTACGGACGTACAGTGAATATCTTATAACTAATGTTGGTAAAAAAACTTCACCTTTTCATAAGCTAGAATTGTGAAATGCTAGACTTTTTGCTAAGTTTCTAAGGATTCATTTGTATTCAAGCACATTAACCCACATAAGCAGTTTCCACGTTAGACGTTTCAGGATGTGAAGATAGGTTTCGAATCTCACTAGAGTTAATCAATAAAACGATTTTATGTGATGTAAGAGTATTATTTCATTTTTACAGATTGAGCTTATTACGGGAAATGAATTTTTATCAGTTTTAAGTCAACAAGAAAATTAAAACTAAGGAAATATTACAGTTAGCTTACACATTAGTCCATAATCCATTGTGAATCAACAATTCTAGAGATTTCATATTCTAGCTACATTAGTACTGTTGTAATACTAAAACTTTCATTTATTAAATTATTACGTTTTGCTTAATTTTTCTCATATTTTTAGTGCCATCTTATATAGAATTATGAAATTGAACGTATGCTGGAAGAAACTATTCTCTTCCACTTTTGTTTTTTGTTCAGTAGAAATACAAATAATGAACAATATGAAATAAGCAAGTTTGACCCTGTGGTAGAACTCTTCATTTTATGAACTGGCAAGCCGGGTTCGAATCCGTGCCGTATCACAAAATATACCCTTTGTTGGTGTTTGTACTTTATAAGAGTGGCAGTCAATTCTTTAACGTGAATAGTGCTACTAACGATCTACATTTTCTCTGGTCAGTAGATAAAAATTAGGGACGGTAGAATTTAGCCGTAACAGCTTTGCCAAATATATAAAGGATCATATTTTTTCGTCTATGTCTTTTATACCATTAATTAAGGAAGAAAACACTAAAAGGACCTTTCTGCCTGACTTTTTACATTTCATTTTTGCACCATAACTTTGAAAATGCACACAATTAGAAACAATATTGAACTGGTGAACCACAAGTTCCACAGTTTTCTGTATGCAAGGTGAAAGGAAAAAAAATAATTACACACACACACACATATATATATATATATATACAGATTGACTTAGTTTTCGTATAATTATACAGACGAAATGCTCATCAATGTCTTTTTCTTTAAGGTTTTAATTTGTGAATGTGAATCGTTGTAATGCTTTAACTGTCTGTTTGCTAAACATTTTTATATTTCTTTTTTACATAATTGTACTTTTGTAAACGTTTACAACTTTAATACGTTTTATTACATCATGCTAGTCAATGTAATCCATGTCAAAATCAGTTAATATATATTTCTTTCTACTTTGCAAATGTAGCAAACGAATTTACCCACGGTGTTAAAAATAAATCAACTGCCCTAAAGGCCTGTCGAAAGTCCTAAGATAATAAAAAAAAACAATGATAACGAAAAAAGGTAAAATATGATTTGAAAATAGTAAAAATACTAATAACTCAATATTTTTATCGTGTCGTTTAATATATATTAAACAAGCTTAAAACTCCTCTCTTGCAGCCGTCTTCAGACTAACTACCATAAAAACAAAGTTTTGAAAACTAATTTAGTAAATGCGTGTAATTAAAACAACTGTGAGATACAAAATTACAACAATTGAAAAACATTTGTGATAACGTTTCCAAGAGTATTACATACTTATAAAGACAAGTTGATTCTGAAGAAAGGAGATGAAGGATTGCTCAATAAATATTAAACGTGAATATGAAAGTTCAATTAGGTATTATTATGATCTTCTGTCTTTAATTAACCACGTTATGAATTTAAAATAGATTTTAAAATGCTGCGTTAGAGTTTATGAATGACCATGATGATGTTACGTACTTAAAGGAAAAATAGGCACTTTTTATATCCAATCAACCAACGCCATAACCGTGTTGTTGAAAAGCTATAAAAGAGAAGTTTCAAGTATTTATTATAGGGCTATGTGCGCTAGTCATTCTTAATTTTGTAGTGATAGACTTCAAGGAAGTCAGACAGTCAATACCACCTATGTTAACTCTTGGTCTGCTCTTTTACTAACAAATAGCAAGATTGACCGTCACATTATAACGTCCCACGGTTGAAAGTGAAAGTAATTTTGGTGACGGGAATTGAATTCGTGAACCGCAGATTGCAAGTCGAGTGCAAAAAACCACCAAGCCATGCTAGGTCTTCAAGTAGCGGTAATTGTAATAATATTATTGAATTGGTATAATTTTAACTTATCATATGATTTATAATTTCAAATATTTTGTTTTTAGATGGTTAGGTAGCATCCGAGGTGCTGGCGTATTAAAATGTACCGGGAAGATTGCACATATACTATTGTTGGAGAGGGTTAGTGGGAGAAAAGATAACATCTTTTGTTTCTTTCCATGAGCTTTCTGTTCCAAACAGTTAATTTTATGAGAAGATTCAGTTGCTGTAAATTCCTGTTAATTCATGTATACAAATACTTTTAGCTTTCACATTTAATTTCATTGTCACCAAAAGACAATCAAATGTGTCTCATAAATGTGTGGTATTCAATTTCAGCCACGTCTATCCTGAGTTTTGTCTTTAAATTGTATTTTTTAATCGATAATATATTAATACATCAACATATTTCACCATCCTCTGACAAGTTGTCCTGGTTCCTGCCTAATAAGAAATATAATTTTGCAGCCTTAAAATTATTTTTGGTCCTTAAAATTAGTTTTACTTTCGGTAGCAGTATTACTTAATCAGACGAGGAGCTATATGGTTCTGTAATAATTAAAATAAAAATTAGTTTTACTTTCGGTAGCAGTATTACTTAATCAGACGAGGAGCTATATGGTTCTGTAATAATTAAAATTAAAATTAGTTTTACTTTCGGTAGCAGTATTACTTAATCAGACGAGGAGCTATATGGTTCTGTAATAATTAAAAAAATTCATAGATTGTAGTTTTCATGAATGCTTAGAGTTATTACATGGGATATTTATAACAACTCGTACCTTTCTCTGAAAAATTATTTTATAGATATACCTAAACCTCTTGGTGTTGCAGCACTGATGTGTTGGATTTCACGAAAACAACCGAAGAAGTACAACATCAGACTTATTAATTTGTACTTTTGTTTAAAAACAAACTCCGAACAATTCCGGAGTATATTCTAATAGGATAAAAAAAGAACTTCAAATGAAACCAAAGTCTTAGAATATTCTTTCTCCTGAGAATATCCATTGTACTTTTGTTAATTCGTTTTTATGTGAATATGAGGTATGATATATTCTGTTGAGATGAATCTACATTTATTTCAATATATATACCAGTCAATTGGGAAAACATATAGAAAGTAATGAGTAATAAAAAGTTTCTGTAGCATACAATAAAAGTGTTACAAATACTGTATGTAATGTTTTCTGTTCATGTATCTTTCAGGCAAATAAGATATACGAAGAATACTTACACAAAAATCTATTCTAAGCAGAAACTAATATAAAAGAAGAAAAATAGGCAATTATGAGAGGTTATTAATCCAGACATAACATGAATCGATAACTCAGTTTGCCATCAGAGAACTAGTGAACTAGAGTTTCAGAAATGGGTTAGGTCATGTTCATAAATTCTAATCACCTTTAATATATGTAATATAACGTTGTTTCCCTTCTTTCTCGTGTTTATATTAAATATCGAATTGTCAGAAATCATATGTTTGGTTAGAAAACTTGCGCATTTCTATATTCATTAATTAACGGAGTTCAAGAAAATAATCAATATTATATTTTAATAACTTACAGTTGAAAGTTATTCACAGTTGCTTCCGATGAATGCTCACAATAAAGCGAAGCCAACATAACTTAGATACATATTTCTAATAATGAAAACCTGAAAAATCACTTTTCTTAACTTTGACATAAGGATTTAATGACAGTTGCATGTGAGAATTATTTTGAATTCCCTACAATTTCAATATTTTTGCTTGGCTCCGCACTTCCTTAACTGCCATGTTCAATTAAGACTAACATATGTACATGTTGGGTTGTACTCTGTTTTGTTAAGATGAATGCAGCGAGTGGTTTTAAATAAGAGCCAATCATGTTTGAAAAGCACTGACGTATACGGTAAACTGGCAAACCAGATCAATGCGCAAATTCACGACTATCTTTTGTTAAATATTCTTAACGTTCCTCTACTATGAATTATTCTATATTTGCGCTTCGGACACGATGCTTCACAGTTTGTAGCTCAGAATAATATGCAAGTAAAGTCGGTCAGAAGAAAACTAAGAAACGACCATTCAATATCAGATAGAGAAAAACCTTAAACTTAAATACAATGAGGTCATTCATGTCTTTAATTTGTCTAATCAGCCTGATAAATACTTCAATCATGCTAACCAAGAATGGCATGTTTATTTTAATGAATAATGGCTTTGCAGGTCCTTCTGATGCTTTGCTAAAAGAGATAACTGTATCTTCGAAAATTCAATGTGCTGTAAGTTGTTTGAAAATCACCAACTGTCTGTATGCGGCAATGTCTTCACCTAGCGACAATTCCGATACCTTTATCTGTCAACTTTTGAAAGGGTTTCCTCCCTCCTCGATGGTGGCTCAGATAGGATGGTCATTATATACAAAACCTGAGAATCACGTATGTTTCTTTGTTTATCACAACTAAAATATCTCAGAAATAAAAAAATGATGTTTTCCAATTTACATATGTGGTTTAATATTGATTAATATTCAAGTATTACACTGCAAATACTGAACTAATATTTTCCAAGATCGTAGATATATTTAAGGAATTGAATGATATAACTGTGTAAAAAACAGTTTTATTACATTAATATATTCAAACATTCAAACATTTTCATAGGTCTTATAGTTGCTATAAAATAGATTTTAATTTGTTCTACATATTTAACAGCTTCAAAAAACTTACTACGGTCTTGACCCTTATGATGCACTTGACAATAACAACGACGATTACTACGAAATGTTTTGCTCAAGCAACAGTCTATTCACTGGCATATGGTAAGTGATTACTAATGTATATATCTACATCTATAGTAATTTATACAAAATGAAATTGAGGCGAGTATGCTCTTGTTTTGGTAAAAATGTATTAGGAAAGAAAATATTGTTATTTATTCATAAAATGTTTGTTAAGTGATACTTTCTATAGATTAATATACATAGACACATGTTTTTGTACTGATATTGTAAGTAAAAGTAACGATTCCATTGAGTTTTAATCTTCCGGTCGGTTGATACAAAAAAAAAATATTTATTTCGAATTGATTCCTATACACGGTGGCTCAGCGATAAATCTGAGGGCTTATAACGCTAAAAGTCAGACTTTGATAACCACAGTAGTTTTTTTGTAGGGGTGGGGGTGGGAAATAGGTTTTCGGACTTACAATACAAAATGCGGAGTTCAGTTCTCTGCAGCACATATAGCCCGCTATGTAGTTTTGCGCTAAAAGAAAAAATACAATTACAATACCGACGCGTTTCTTACTCTTCATATTTTGGGGAAATGCCCTAATTGCGATTTCCTAACTACAATGATTGAAAGCATAGTCCATTATATTTCGCAAATCACTTGTTACCCTCTTTTCTCATACACTTACAAAGACACCTTGTAGTGATATTTGTAAATGACATTGAAGCGGTTAGGTATAGCAATTCTGCCCTTAACCATTTCATTGTGGAACGTAACTATGGCCAATGGAAGATTAATTGCAATTGACAGTAGTGAAGGACTTTTCTCCACGGCCGTCAAAAAAATATTCCCTCTACACTGGTGTGTGTGTGTGTGATCTTTATCAAAGTTTAGGTCATATAAACCTGGGAGTGTCAGGCGCATTTGACCTTTAGTTTTATTTCAAAATCTGCCTTTATATATATACATGTCTTGATCTGATTACACATCCTAAATATTCTTTCTCTCTTTAATGTTAATTTTCATTTAGTATTGAATAGAATGTTTAATATATATCTGATTATGTTATTTTTATTTTATTATTATTATATATTTTCATTATAAAGATAGTTTGGCATTGTTAAACTAGTACGTAAATTTTAAGCTAAGCTAAGTCTCCAAACCTCACTAACTTGATCAGGTTTATTGAGATTATGGCCAAAATATCGCTTACAGCGAGAATATCTAACTGATAAAACAAAACATACAAACTATTATAAGTAAGTATAATTTATTAGATTAGCTATATTCGTTACTGGGTTAAGTTTTAATTCTGATCTATCTAAGTAGCTTGTTTTTGATATAAGTTACTAAACTGTCCCGTCTGATGTGATAAAGTGATGGTCAAATGCTACAAAGTAGCCCGAAAGATGGCAGGGTGCGGCTGACTAGTTACCTTCCGTCTAGTCTATGAGTTCAACATTGAAGACGGTTAGCACATATATATCTGATACAGTTTATGCAGAAAATACAAACGAACAATAAAGTGAAGTCCTAATTCTTGATCTGTCTCTTCACTAAATCTTCTGATGTGATTTCATTGTTTTCATTTATTTTGTTTTTGTTATTGAACTATACTTCGAGACTTATTAGTTTCGTCTGTGAATGTACTACTTAACGTTTATTATAATTTTTATCAACATCTGTAACCTTAATCATTTTTATAGAGACAACTAAAATTATCTTAATTTGTGCGCTAGCTTTTCTTTCCTTATTTTCGTGTGTTCACTTATTTTAATCTATCTTTATGTATTAGCCACACCTTCTGTGTTCGGATTATTATTTTCCCTGTTTTAACTACTTATTCCCCAATACAATAGTGTGTTATCCGTCAGTCAGTCAGTAGACACTAAAATGACGTCACACAAGAGACGCTTAACGTTGCAAGTTGTACTGTCGTGATGTCAGTAAAACGTGCGCATGCCATGAATCACGCGAAGAGCTATACACTCTGTAGGCTAGGGTTACAACGCAGCATGACATAGGGACTTCAAAAGCAAGAAATAAAAAAAATAATCTTATTTACTCTTAAAACAGAAAACTTTTTGTAACTCTGTGCAAGGACATCTAGCTATCATTCATAATATTAGGTATAGTTGTATTAAACACACGAATGTGCGAAACAATAACTAACATTCATAAACAACTTTTTTTACGATGTAGCGTCGGCTTAAACAAAAAACATATATTTCAGAGATATTTCGAGCGATTTTTATTTTTCAAGTTCATTGTGCAACGACCAATTAGGCTTAGCAAACTTAGATGAAGATTTTTCACATGTCCTTTAGAATTTAGTTTTGGTCTAAGTTCAAGGATGATAAGAGTTATTATACTGTATTATAAATGAAAATATAACATATGTTTTCACTATATGACTTGAAAGGGAAGACAGTGAAGAATACTGGGACATAGACCTGGCAAAGTGTATGGGATTAGGAAACATTCCTGTTGTAGACACGTCTAGTGGGGTTCAAGTTGAGATTTATCGACCACCTTCTTATGTTGACGGACCACGTGAATGTCCTAATGGCTACGTCATCACAGGTAATTTAGCTGTTTTGGTTTATCTGTTTTAAATTTAAAGTTCAGTTTACAGTGAGAAAGATGTTCTTTTTTTACAATGCTTATTGTTGGCTAGTCGGGTGCAACTTCATTATGAAATAGCCATGAACATTTCTGTAAATTAGCGAGCATTTAATGTTTAAATACTTCCATGTTTCACTAATACTGGGGTACAGATTGGCCCTGTGATAGACGTCGGTATTTCGCAGCTGGCGAATCGCTTTTGAATCCATGCAAAGCTACAAATTAATCCATGCACTGCGTTAGATAATCAATTCTTTAGGGTAGACGGTAGAAAATAGAATGTTGTTATCGTTTGCCTTCCTATAGGTAACAGCTCAAAATGCTATAATACAAATATACTGATATTGCGATTTTTGTTTGCTAAATGTCAACCAGTCTATACGTGTTATAATGTTTATCTAAAGTAACTTAATAAAGTATTGCTTTTGTTGCACGAAATCGTAGTAGAATAGAAACGAAATGAAAATTTACCTCACATATCTTGTAAGAAAAGAAGAAACATAAATTTCCATAACACCCTTTATGATAAAATTTTCCTTTATATAGTTGCACAATTCTTTACATTTTTCACAATAGATATAATTATTTAAGTTGGGATTTTTTTGCTTGTTTATACATGCAGGATTTCTGGTATGGTCTTAATTTCTTTTATATACTATTTGTAGTCCACAACGTATATATGTGTATGTACAATTTAACATCAAGGTCGCTATGTTAGTATTAACCTAATTAACTCTTTACAACCTAAACCTATAAAGAGACAACGATAACTTATGATTTATCAATGTAATTGCTTATTCAAGGGAAGTTTTCTTTATAAAATGTCGAATCAAAAACTATATAGTCCTGGACTGAGTTAGAATATCAGAATAATTTCCACGAAACCCACTTCTTAACTGTAATGTCTAAACTTCTTGACTATAGAACATTAGTCTGTGATATGTGGGTATATCATATATTTGGCGCCTGCGTATTTTTTAAAAGTTTCCTTTTGTTCTCTTTCTATGCAATTTTGGCATAAACACGTAGTCCAAAAAAACTGTTTGGTTGAAATTAAGCACAAAGCTAAACAATCGGCTATCTGTGCTCTGCCCATCACGGGTATCGAAACCCGGTGTCTAGCGTTATAAGTCCGCAGACTTACCCCTGTGCCACTTGGGGACTGTTAAAACTATCTTCTTCTCGTTGCTTTTGTGTTTTTGTACTGTTCTAGCAGATAGTGTCTACCTAGCTTGCGAGGATATTGCTGTAGCTTACCATTTCTGTCGAAATAGGTCGTTGATAGCAATATATACATCTGAATGAGTAGATGCTGTTTAGAAGCTACAGTCATGTCTTAATGCATATAAATTTTACCTAAAATCGACGTTACGTGTTTTGGCAAGAAGTGTTGACTGTAGTTATTTCTACCTTCTATCTAGAGGGAAGAAACCACTTAATTCATGTAGTAAGGATATTGTCTCGTGTTTACTGTTTTGTATTATTAATAAAGATTGTTTTAAACTTCTCAACATGCGTTCAACCTAGTTATTTCTCAAATCCTAAAACTCAGTAATTTAGTGAAATTCAGATTAATGCAGAAATTTCCTGTTCGATCCTCCCATTATAAACTGGGCCTATCTAGTACTTGTACAGAAATATGTTTACCTCAGAACATTATAACTAGATAGGAAGGGGGAAGTTTGATACATGGCCACTGGATTTATTGTGGAGATTTCTGCCAATATCAACGTGTGTATTGGCCTTTGCTTGATCTCTTGAGTACATGAACTTAAAGAAGCTCTTTAACAGGAGAAGTACTCATGACCAAAGAGAGATTGTCACCTGAGAGAGATAGTTATACAAGATAAGTGTTGAGTTCACGAGAAGTCTTCTCCTGGACATATGCCTGTTGCTGATAATACAAAGGCTCCTGACATCAATTACCCTAAAGCTACAGAACTAAGAAAGCCAGTTGAGGTCTAGTGTACTCGGACTAGTAGATCCAAATATATCCCTGTAGATCAACCTTGGTACAAGGAAAGTTAGGACGATTGAGGATCACCAAGGTGGGATAGCGCCTGGCGATTCTGAGACCATTTTAGATGGTCTATAAAAGACTCCCAACTATTTCCAGCTGAAACATCGTGGCTCCAGCTTTGATCACGGCCAATATAACGAGCAAAAAAAAAAAATGACAGACGACATGAGTCAGGCAGAGGTCTTCCCTTGGCATAACAAACAACAGATACCCAGGTGTAATAACCAGGAACCATGGGTCAGTAAGCATCTTCAGGCTAGCAGGTATCCTACAATGAAGACCATGGCTCAAGACAAAGCCTGTGGTCATACAGTTATACAGAGGTGTATGAGTAGTTTCCATAAGCAAATATTCACCATGCCACCCTTGAAATGGGACTAATTACTCAATTGCATTCTAGGTCACTGGGTATGTCTAGTTTAGGGACGCCGAGAAGCTTAGCCACGCCAGTTCCCGACACCAGCACTGGGAGCCGGTCCATTTTTCTCCTATTTTAGAAAACTTCTATGTTGTTGAACGACCTCTAAATATTAATATATTTAACAACAATTTTACTTTCCAGTTATATCTGGAGAGAGTAAAAGGTAAATCCTGTAAAATGAAAAATTTTGATTTTCGCGACCACCATAAAATACACTTTGAGTGTTCAAAATTTAACTTTGAGCTTCAAACATTCAGTTTAGCTCGTTTTAATATCTGGTTATATCTATTTCTTCCTTTGCAGTGTAACTGCAAGCCTGAACTGCTTAGAGTTCTTTATTTAAAATATTAGAAAAAACAATTCTTTGCTTTATGGTAGATTAGTAGTTTTTTAAATTAGTTGGTTTCTTGGTATTAGACAGCAGCAGATATAGATCAAGTATTGCTCTTAAGCAGAGAGGTCTTTCAAATAAGGGCCCGGCATGGCCAGGTGGTTAGGGCGCTCGACTCGCAATCTGCGGGTCGCGGGTTCGAATCCCCGTTACACCAAACATGCTCGCCCTTTCAGCCGTGGGGGCGTGATAATGTGACGGTCAATCCCACTATTCGTTGGTAAAAGAGTAGCCCAAGAGTTGGCGGTGGGTGGTGATGACTAGCTGCCTTCCCACTAGTCTTACACTGCTAAATTAGGGACGGCTAGCGCAGATAGCCCTCGTGTAGCTTTGCGAGAAATTCAAAACAAACAAACAAACTTTCAAATAAAAGTCGAAGTTTTTCTTTTGGAGAAACTAATAAAATAATGAAATATTCAATAGATATTTGAGAAATTAAAATCCGCAGTTTTCAACATAAATTTCTTTTTGTCGAAGGCAACAAATCTTTAAAAAGGAATGAAATGATTAAATTTTAAAATTTATGCGAAAGTTCTTATTTGAAAACAAATTCATTTACGAAAACAACCAAGTTATTTGCTATTTTTCAATTAAAAATAGATATATGAACATCGTAAATAAAATATCACCCCAATATAGGTTATAATTATGGTAAGTATTACAAAAAATGAATAATAATAGAATAAGCTTAGACCTGAAATAAATACTAGAAAGTATCAACAATCGGACATGCTTTATGCAATGCAAGCAAGATATTCGTTTGTTTCTTAGGTCACATGCGTTACTTACATAAAACAGACTTTTATTTTCAAGTTAACTTTATAGCGATTATACTATAATATCTCTAAAAAAACTATGCACTCTCATTCACATATGTTGGTGTAAGTAAATTTGGATATTTTATTTCTCTTCAGGAACACATGACAACAGCGATCGTTTCTCGTCTCCGAACTACGTCCAGTGCTCCCCATTGGTTGCAGGTTGGTCAGTTGACTATAGCGACTGTAACATTACCATTAGAACGACCCAACATTACTATGGACCTACGGAACCAGATGAAACTTGGAATTACGAGTGTTCTCCTGACACCTGGTTCGTGAAAGCAATGGTTGGAATGGAACTTCTAGACGACATAGCGATTAAATGTTGCACGATTTATCGAAGTGGATAGACTCGGACACAAAAACCTGTACACATTTTTCTTTGGCTGTTGATTTTGTCGCAAGCAATATATATTCACCTTTGAGAACTAGATTATAATGAAGAGAATTTCTTCACTTATTATTATTTATCACATATTCTAGTCTGATAGGCAAGAAGAATACTTAGAAAATGTACACAAATCCTAATCCTTAAAACTCTATAGATTTCATGGTTGAGCTGGAAATGAAGGACAACTTTAGAAACGTCCCAAGTATCGGGTTTCTTTAATTGAACGTTTTCCTGCTAAAATGTTTATTGAAAGACTAAAAGCGATATTTTTTATAGATAAAGCTTGAAATTCAATTATTTTCGTTAAGCTAATGTCTAAATTTGAAAATATGATGTCTCCCTTGTATTGGTTTAGCTTTATTGTAGTATTAGCCAGTTAAATTCATTGTTGCTGTGATGTTTCTGTCTAGCAGTATAAATTAACAAACAAAATATAATGCTCAGGTTTAGAGAACGGAAATGTCCAGTCATTTCCATTCAGCTATATACGTTGAAAACATGTATATGATTTATGTACAATCTTTAAACATACAACATAATGTTAACATCAAGAAAAGTAAGACACTGTTATTTACCATTTTGTAGTAATATGTTTAATTATAATTACTTTAAGTAACAATTTTCTGAGAGTTTCATAATTCAAAACAACTTTAAATGTTTGTGATATGTTTTTTGTTTAATACACAACTTGTCGAAAAAAGCTTTTAGTATTAAATACAATATGATAAAGAATACTTAATTATTTGGAGTAACCAAACATCAGTGAAAATTTTGTAAGCTTGAATAAGAACAATTCTTAATTACCATCTGACGAATTTACTGGAGTATGTATACATAAAGATATCTATTAGAAACTCACCTTTTATCCATACAAAACTAATAAAATTTATCTATAGATTTGTTTAAACTTTGCTCTGTATTTTAAAGCAATTACTGCCCTTGATATGTACATTTCAAGCATAATATTTTGAAGTGTGATTCCTTGGAAATAATTTTTATTAATATTAGTATTTCCAGAGTGTGATGCAGTATACTTTTACCTTGTTTGAACCATATTGTGACAATATAACAAATCACTAAGAAAATATATAAATTTAGGTATTTTATAATGTAGCTTAAAATATCTCTCGTATACATTAAAACTACATTTTTACCTTATTGAAATCACATGCCTGCTTAGTTTATTTGTTGTTAAGCTCAAAGCTACACAATTTGTGCTGTGTTCACCGACTTCTAGTGTTATAAACCCTTAGAATTACGGCTGCATCCTGATGAGATATTTTCCTGCTTTTTACTGCAGTTTTCGGCCCATTTGTAAGAAATCAAACTGAAAATACTGAATGAAATCTGACAGTTGTTTTTCTTAAATAGTTGTAGTTAATAACGCGCTATCATAAGCAATGTACAGGCTGGCATTTTAAATTGGACTCATCCCTACATAAGGATCGCTGCCGCGCTCCCTGATAACCTAGATTACAGAGTTGATATCTTAGGCTATTACACTGAGTGATACCTTCTTGTCTATTTTCAGTTTTATATTTATAACAAAGTAAACGGTTAAAAGTTTTGGCTGTCTGTAAGCTAAACTGGCATTACTTACGGCTATAGATGTACAAGAATAGATGAAACGTTTACACTCCTTGATTTGAATTTTTAAACCTGGAGTACACGTAGTAACAACTGGTAAAATTTCCATCTTATTAATACCCTTTGATCCATATAATTTGGCGCGAAATATACAATTGTCAAATAGGCCCTTTGAATAATTTCTATTTAACAAAACATTTTTTAATAATTCAATGTAATATTTCTTTTTTTTTATTTTCTTTATGAGCATTAGTCGTCTTATAAAAAAATATCAATTTTTAAGGAACCATTGTCAGGTATATCAATCAGTATATCCAAATAAGATTTGTATGACTTTCGACAGTGAATTTAATGTTTGGATCCAGATTACATAGAACTTGACTGAAATTAAATCAGTTTAATTCTTCATTCCAAATAATACAACAATTATCAATGTACCTGAGCAAATGTGACGTCACATAAGAGCTAACATTTACTTCGTTCTTTGATCAACAAACCCTTTACCAGAATAGCATATGTAGGTGTTATTTTTGTACCCATGGTGGTTCCTATTATCTGATGGTTGAAATAAGTGTTATAGACAAAATAGTTATTAATCAATACTAATTTCAAAGCTTCAATTAAAAACTCTTCAGTGATTCTGGAATGCAAAAGCTGTAGATAACATTCACAAAAATAATTAATGCCGCTATTCCAAGTTAATGTTCAATATTAATGTACAAAGATACTACATCTAGTGTAATTAGACTGCAGTTATGATCAATTTTACCAGGCAATTTTGATATAAAACCTAAGTCATCCCTCACTTCTATTCTATATTTATATATTTCATATTTAGAAATATATATATATATAGTATGAATATTATTTGTTATTGAATTATAAAGGATTACTAATGGGTGTAAGGTCGTGTTACAAGAAGAGCGAACAAGCTTACATATGCTTTTAGGTTTAATAATGCCCAGTTCAAACATAATTCTGTTCTGTTTGTGTATATTTGTTGGAGCTTGACAGAGGACAAAGATCTTAAAGTGCTTTATAACTCTTTGCATCGGGTTAAGTTCTTTTAATGGCTTAGACATTTTTCTTGGGCTTTTCCAGCTAACACACGACCTGTTTAACCTTTGTACAGATGACTGCAGTGTTCATTAGTGACACAAAAACGATATATTTAAAGTAAAAGAGAAGTTATAATTTATGTTTTATTTGCACGATGAATCTTTGTATATCTCTTTGTTGGTTTCTAGTGGTTTAATGAATAAATTGATGATGTGAGATTACTATTCACGATAAGTGTCAGTGTTAGTAAAACGTTTGCACGAACCGTCTTTTCAATATCGAACCTTGTAGAAGAAAATGGATGCTTATCACAATTTTGTCAACGTATTAATAATAATAGTCAAGAAACTTCCTAGTTTTTTTTTGCATGTTTTTTTTTTTAATTCAAGCACGCAAGAGAAAACCTTATCTATAAGATATCTGGTCATCACTTACCATTCACATAACACTAAAGCTCTATTAATTCAGACTAATCTAAAATAAAGCCTCATACATGAGATGAAAACTATAGTTACGAAGAGGGCTTTTTGATCCAAAAATGTCATTGGAATAAAGCTGAGCATATTTCTTCGTGCCGTTAAGAGGACAATTGACAAGGGTTTGAAGTGGACAGTGATACACAAGAAAGATCATAGACTTTCAGCTACACTTTCAGCAACACTTTTATAACTTTTTAGGTGTTTTCATGATAAACATTTCCATTATACCGCTTGTCTGTCATGTCTCTAGAAGAATGTGTAGTGGCATTTCTACCTTTGGTCTGGTTACATGTGGTCTTAAAAGCTAATCTTTACTTATAGTGGAGGCTCTGTGGAAAGAAGTATCGCTTAAAGCTGACCTCTCCATCCTTTGCAGAGACTGTTTTTATTGCAGTTTTTGTTCATGACTAAAGACGACCAACTGTATAGGGCGTAATAACAAGGGTAGAGCGGAAACTTTGTTCGTATAAAGTGTGATTAAGCCTGAATACTTGGGCTAATAATTAACACAGTTAATATTATTGAGAAATGTTTATTATAAACGTCTTCAATATCACATAACCCCACAAAACATCATTGCTAGGGAAGTGTATATCCCTACATGTAAGGTGTTGGTCCATTGCATCATACTCCATTTTTTTGAAGCTATACAAAGCATTATTTACTATAATTCCAAATTTTCTAAGTGTATCTTTACGAAATTTGGTAAGTTTTTGGCGAACATTACATTTATGTCTTAGTATGTAGAAGTCGTCAAATTTCTTCAATGTTTGTCCTGTTTCAGGTATTGCATTTTAGTAGGTAGTATTATTTAATAGATGAAACAAAATACTATATGATATAAAAGGCCATCAAAATACCATTACAAGAGCAAGAGATCATATAAAATAATTAAAACTTTAATTTACGAATATAACCATATGTAAACTGGTCATTGTTGGGGGGCGTAATGCGATTATTATGTACTTTATGTTAATGTAAACTCCGAGATTTTATGATTGTATTGAGGTGTATTAGGTTTCCTAGTTTCATACTTTCTAGGGTTGGTTGGAATTCAAGCAAAGTAACCATGTAAAACATTTTTCATATTAACCAAATTAAATAAAAAGATCTGAACTTTTAAGTATAGTTTCGGGTGGAACTAGGTTTGCTAATTTTTTTTTGAGATTTTTTTCTGGAATTAAAGCACATTGCTATGTTAGGCGAGTTTTTCATATTAAGTGCAGTTCATGTCGAACCGGTTGTTTTAAGGGCTTATCTTGGATATTTTATACCTTATGTTGAAATAAACTTCACTTCTTTCATAAGAGAGTATTGTAAGATTCTTGGTTTGCTACTTGCAAAATTTCTAACGATTTGGTATGAATTTAAGAAAATTAACCCACATAAGTGCTTTTCACGTTAGACGTTTAAGGATGTCAAGATAGGTTTTGAATCTCATTGGCGTTAATAAAGAAAACGATTTTGTATGATGTGAAAGTATTATTTGATTTCTACAGTTTGGAAGTAATACACGAAATAAACTTTAATAAGTTTTAAGTCGTCGAGAAAAATAAAACGAAGGATTATATTGTAGTTAGCTTAAAACTAATTCAATGTGAAACAATAATTTTAAAGAGTCCATATTCTATTTACACTAGTTATATGATAATACTAAATACGTGAATAATTCAACGGCATTATGTTCCTCCATTTTTGTCTTGTATTATTGCAAGAGCTTAGCTTGGTAAATGTTGAAAGTACTTTTTATATAAATGCGAATAATGAAGTATATGAAAACACACATAGACTAGGGTTTTAATTATGGTATGGCTTTGGATTTCGGAACTGACAAGCTGGATTCGAATCCTTGCAATATCACAAAATATTTCGAACACTTTAAGTTGTAGGTGCTTTGTAAGATAGATTGTTAATACCTTATCTTTAATAATGGGTGGTAATATGGTGCTGACTGAGTGCCTTCCATTTAGTCAGTGGTTTGAAATTAGGAACTGTGGCAGATATCTTTAGTAGTTTCATCTATGTTTTTTATGCTCCTATTTACACAAAATATTGTTAAAACGACTTTTCCGCCTGTCTCTTGAATTAGTAGAAATTCCGACAAATGAAACTTGTTACACTTTATATTGATACCTAAACTTTAAAATGCACATAGATCTCATGACCAACTAGTTCCAAATTCTCCTGTAAGCGGTTGTGAAAGGAAAC